GCAGAGTAAGAGCCGGGAGGCGGCGCCGAGCGGGAAGAGCCTCCCGGTTCCGGCCCCGCTGCGGCCCCGGGAGCCGGGCGGCCCCGCGCCCCAACCCGCTCCCGCTTCCGGGCCCGCTCCCGGTCCCGGTCCCGGTCCTGGTCCCGGTCCCGGTCCGGGGCCTGGGCCCGGCGAGGCCGAGGTGGCACCGGGCGCCGGGTGTCGCCCCACGGTACCGCCCGGGGGCTGCTGGGGGAAACCGGGATGAGCTGGGGGAAACTGGGATGAGCTGGGATGAGCTGGGAGAAACTGGGATGAGCTGGGAGCTGCTGGGAGATACTGGGATGTGCTGGGAGATACTGGGAGAAACTGGGATGTGCTGGGAGAAACTGGGATGTGCTGGGAGCTGCTGGGAGATACTGGGAGAAACTGGGATGAGCTGGGAGCTGCTGGGAGATACTGGGATGAGCTGGGAGATACTGGGATGTGCTGGGAGATACTGGGATGAGCTGGGAGCTGCTGGGAGAAACTGGGATGAGCTGGGAGAAACTGGGATGTGCTGGGAGCTGCTGGGGGAAACTGGGATGTGCTGGGAGATACTGGGATGAGCTGGGAGCTGCTGGGAGATACTGGGATGAGCTGGGAGAAACTGGGATGAGCTGGGAGATACTGGGATGTGCTGGGAGAAACTGGGATGTGCTGGGATGTGCAGGGAGAAACTGGGAGATGCTGGGATGTGCTGGGAGATACTGGGAGAAACTGGGATGCACTGGGAGCCGCTGGGGGACACTGGGAGAAACTGGGATGCACTGGGATGTACTGGGAGAAACTGGGAGCTGTTGGGAAGCACTGGGAGCTGCTGGGAGAAAATAGGAGATTTGGGGATGAGCTGGGAGATGTTGGGAGCTATTGGGAAGCACTGAGAGATCCCGGGGAGCACTGGGAGATACTGGGAAGCAGTGGGAGATACTGGGAGACACTGGGAGCATCCAGGGGGAATCTGGAGCTACTGAGGGATAGTGGGAGGTACTGGGGTCCTGTTAGGAAGCTATTGGGAATGCTGGGATGGTACTGGGAATACTGGGATGAGAAAGTGGGATATTGGCGGGGGGAAAGGAGGGCGACAATCCCCTTTAGCTTCAGAGGCAAGAGAAACTGGGATAGACTGGGATGAACCGGGATACACTGGGTTGGACTGGACTGGGAAGGACTGGGATACAGTGGGGTGGACTGGGATGAACTGGGATACACTGGGATGGACTGGGAAGGATCGGGATACACTGGGATGGACTGGGGTAGACTAAGGTGGATTGGGATGAACTGGGATGAACGGGGATACACTGGGATGGACTGGGATAGACTAGGGTGGGTTGGGCTGGGATGGACTGGGAAGGATCAGGATACACTAGGATGGACTGGGATAGACTAGGGTGGGTTGGGGTGGACTGGGATGAACCGGGATACGCTGGGATGGACCGGGATAGACTGGGATACATTGGGGTGGGCCAGGGGGGTCGGGTGCCCATGGGCTGGGTGGGCTTGGGTGGGGGCAGCCAGAGCTGGACCGGTCTGGACCGGTCCATATGGATTCATACTGGTCCGTACTGGTTTATACGGGTCTGTACTGGTTTATACGGGTCTGTACTGGTCCATACTGATCCATATGGATCCATACTGGTCTGTACCGGTCTATATGGGTCCATACTGGTCGGTACGGTCCATACAGGTACATATGGATCCATACTGTTCTATACTGGTCCATACTGGTCTGTACCGTCTATATGGGTACGTAGCAGTCCGTATGGATTCATACTGGTCTGTACTGATCCATACTGATCCATATGGGTCTATATGGATTCATACTGCTCTATAATGGTATATACTGCTCCATATGGTCCGTACTGCTCCCTACTAGTCCATACAGACGGTATTGATCCATATGGGTCTGTATGGATCTATACTGCTCTATGCTGGCCCATATTGGTGCATATGGTCCATACTGGTCCGTACTGGTCCATACAGACCGTACTGGTCCATACGGGTCTGTATGGATCCATACTGCTCTATACTGGCCCATACTGGTCCATACGGTCCATACTGGTCCATAGGGGTCTGTATGGATCCATACTGCTCTATACTGGCCCATAGTGGTCCATACTGGTCCATACTGGGCCACGTGGGTCCGTACGGACCGTACGGGTCCGTCCGGTTCCGTGCCGGTCCACACGGTGCGTGCCGCCCGCAGAAGCGCAAGGCCGACGTCGTGTCCCCCGCGACGCCCGTCCCCGCCGTCCCCGACACCTCCCAGGCCTCCGTGTTCCCCCAGGTGAG